GGTACGTTATCTCGATCCCTTATTAGAGATAAACTTACATCTAACACATGAAGCCTATATATTCAATATTATAGCCTAAAGTCTAAGAGAGTTTATTTTTTTAGCACAACGTTAATGGGTGAGGGTGCTAAAAATCCGTTGATGGGTGAGGGTTTGCTAAAAATCCTATAATAAGCATCTTGCGATGACGGATTCGCTCTTCTAGCTCGGAGAGCTTCTCTTCACAAAGCTTGTACAAGCTTCATCTCCAATCAGCTTTAATAGTTATTGACGTACCAACTTTATTAGTTGGTCTCATGACTCGAACATCTTAAGATGTTCAGTAGCCTTTAAAATTGTAGTCGTATCATCATCTATAGTTGATCCTACAAAAATCAAATCTCGCACAAAAAACTCAACCTAGTGAGCATCTGATGCATTCTCAGCTTGTTCTTCCCACACTCCGATGAGTATACGAGTATAAACTACATCTCTTTGAACCTCCGACGGGTATTTGAGGTTAAACTAATTTCCAAAACTCCGATGAGTATACGCACTGTTTTAAAAAAACTCTGCCTAATCCGCTTAGGCGTACGCCTAGGCTTAGGCGGTACCTAGGTCGCCTAACTAGCGCCTAACGTCTAGGCGGTATTTAGAATGCCCACCTAGATTTTACGAGCGTTTAGGGAAACATTATCTGCTTACGTGGATTGCACCCTGTAGGCATTGATTGTGATTTTATGTGTCGTAGCCTACACGTCCTCCAAACTCCATTAACCTCCAAATATGAACACCTCCACTACATCCTCCGGTCTTCAGCAAAATCTCATCGACCACCACTTAAATGAAGAAAAAAACGCAATCATTAGTTTTCTTCTTTTACTTCTTAGGTCACCAGCCTTGAGAGTTCAGATCAGAAAACTCAACATCTCGCACAAAAATCAAATCTCGCACAAAAAACTCAACCTAGTGAGCATCTGATGCATTCTCAGCTTGTTCTTCCCACACTCCGATGAGTATACGAGTATAAACTACATCTCTTTGAACCTCCGACGGGTATTTGAGGTTAAACTAATTTCCAAAACTCCGATGAGTATACGCACTGTTTTAAAAAAACTCTGCCTAATCCGCTTAGGCGTACGCCTAGGCTTAGGCGGTACCTAGGTCGCCTAACTAGCGCCTAACGTCTAGGCGGTATTTAGAATGCCCACCTAGATTTTACGAGCGTTTAGGGAAACATTATCTGCTTACGTGGATTGCACCCTGTAGGCATTGATTGTGATTTTATGTGTCGTAGCCTACACGTCCTCCAAACTCCATTAACCTCCAAATATGAACACCTCCACTACATCCTCCGGTCTTCAGCAAAATCTCATCGACCACCACTTAAATGAAGAAAAAAACGCTCAGAAACCGCTTAAGCGCCCGCCTAGGCGACTAAGCGCTGGGCGCCAAGTCTGACGCCTAGAAGCGCCCAGCGTTTAATGTAACATTGAGTATACGAGTATAAACTGATTCTCCAAACTCTAACGTCTTAAGAAGATTCCAGTTAACGCACGAGTATAAATTGTGTTCGCGCGTCACAACGAAGGTCAACGAAGGTCAACGCATCAACAATTTCGTCAGAATCAGGCTCAGGATAATTTTCAGGTCAAAGAATTATTCCGAAGAGTTTAATCGCAATCCAGATGCAAACTCCCGACAAAGATCAGTTTAACGTCAACTCAACAACATGAGTTAGTTCAGACATCAACATATCAGATTCAGTTCCTAATTTCAACAATGGTAAAGCGATAAACACAACACCAGAAGTATTTCAGAATACTCAACAAAATACTGAGAAAAGCTGAAAGCCGAAGAAGCCAAAGAATTGAAACCATTCACAGGTCCTTTTCACGCAATCTCCTCGACAAAATACTGGTAGGATTGAAAACAAGTCTATCTTGTTCAAAGTGTTCCAGACTCCTCGATAAAATATTGAGGCTGAAAACTTTGAAGGGGGTATCTGTAGGCGTCAAAAATTACATATATGTTCCTAAACACAGCTCAAGATAAAGAGAGGGCGAAGGACGTCATTGTCTAAGTCAGGAAAGATCATCATAGGGCTAGCTGAAGCAAAAGGAAACAAGGAAAACACAAAGAATGATAACTCAAAGAGACTATAGTTTTCGAGACAGTGTCAATTGTCTCGAAAATGCGAGACACTGTTGGTGTCTCGGAAATGCGAAACACTGTTGGTGTCTCAAAAATGATGAGGCAGTATGACGTCCCTTTTGACGGTTTTCTTGGACTTCGTGCGATCCACATGGCTTCATAATTGCTTAGGATCATCCATAAATATGGAAAAACCGTTATAAACTGAAGAGACTCAAAATCCTCAGAAATCACGGTATTTAACAGATTGAACGTCAATTACAAAACTACCTGGAACGACCCCTTTGTCCGAGACAGTGGACATTGTCTCCCAAATAGGAATTATCGATTACGAGTTGTTTCAACTTCTTATCTTCAGAAACGGTTCCCAGGGGCTATAAATACTTCCCCTACACCCTTGTTCACAGGGGAGAGCAAATTAACAACAGAGAATTAGAATTTTGGCGAACTTTGGAGAGAGACTTGCACCGTTTTCAAGGAATCTGCAAAACCTTCGGTGTTTCCTCGAGATCTAAGCTTTGACTTGATCTTGAGAAGAGTGTTTATCTTACCTCGCTAAGATATTCACTTCAGTTCTTGTTTCCACGTCAAAACATCAACTTTAAACCTTCTTCACGATCAACTTGGATTGTTGAATCGGTGGTCCATGGAGTAACGCATCCCTAACATAGACAAAGATCTCTCGTAAGCAGAGGCTGCTAAACAAGAGTTTATGCATGTGTTTATAGGAGATCTCATTTATTTGTTTTCATTTGTTTAAAGAAGTCTTATAAAAAGGCTCACTTTTTGAATCTGTAATTCGATAAACGAGTTGTAATGGTCGTAAGCAGAGGCTGCTAAACAAGAGTTTATGCATGTGTTTATAGGAGATCTCATTTATTTGTTTTCATTTGTTTAAAGAAGTCTTATAAAAAGGCTCACTTTTTGAATCTGTAATTCGATAAACGAGTTGTAATGGATTCCACAATGAAAAAGATTTCCGATGCAAACACACAGATAGGAACACTTCTTAACAAAGTCATACTTTTCCTGGTCTCTAGATCTTGTAAACACTGAACAGGTTAATTCAAAAACTAAGTTTGCCCCCATTATAATCTTTTTTCCCTTCATCTGACTACAAAGCTTTACCCTTCTTCGAAGAAGTTTATAAATTTCACATCCAGGTGTTGTTGTTGACATCAAACTATTTGCTACCTACTAAAAAGAGGCATACTATCTGACTTAGTCTGTTGTTTTGGACTCAAACCCACGTCCAAAACCTCTCCTCTCTTCGATTCAATCTCCACTTCTTCTTCTTTCACCATTTCTCGTATTACTACTCCCAATCTTTCTAACTGCAGCAACTTTCTCTCCCTACCCAAAAAAGCTGACCCAACCCTCTCTCACACATAAAAATCTCTTTTGCAGAAGTCATAAGAAAGCACGTTCCGTGAAAAGAGATCCAACTCTATTAGCTCATGAGCGATCATGTAAGCCATTTGATCCCTTGTACAGAGAGATAGGTAAAACCCCCCCCCCCCCAGTGGAAATCTGACCCAAAAAAAGGAAATAGAGTTTCGGATGTTTAGAATATTTAATATAAAGTCTACTGGCTGAAAATTGGGGTTGACTATTTTCAGGTTCCTTTTAGCTTTATTTGAATTAAAAGTTATGAACACAATCCTAATTGCAATTATTCCAAAGTAGAAATTCATAGCGTGAGCACAGAAAAGTACAAATTAAGTTTGTTAAAAAAGGCTACATAGTAGAAATAAATACAACAAAAGAGTTCATTCAATCAAAAATCATTAGTTTTCTTCTTTTACTTCTTAGGTCACCAGCCTTGAGAGTTCAGATCAGAAAACTCAACATGAATCAGTGTGCGAAAACCACACCAACAGTTTGAGGGATGTGGAGTGAAGTAGGTAGTATTGGACAGGATGGTGTTTATTTCACTATGAAAAAAACAAAAGAGGTTGTGGGGAGTGAAATTAAGGTGGGACAAAATAATAACTTGACAGCCCTAATTATTTCCATACCATGATTTTAGAATATAACAAAATAAGTAATATAAGGACGGAAATCAAGTGAGCATCATATTAGTAAGGACTCATAGACAAATATGATATTTTGGTGGTTAATCCAAATAGGAAATTTGTTTATGGTCTATATCCTAAAACCCCCAACAAATTATTGGGAAATGAGAAAAGTACACAAAATTCCTGATTAGAAGTGTGACAATATATCAAGTGGGAAAATTTTGTTTCCATATAACAGTTTCTCACTCAGTAGTGGGATGGATAAAAGCAAGAAAGAAAGGTTTGCTGAGACACTAGAATACTATTTGGATTTTAATGCACTACCTGAGTATATCAAGGTTATTAAGATTTTGCATTACCCGATGACATCCAAGGTTCATGAGATTATCAACAAATTGCTAGGGCATCTGATTTGACTGCTTTTGGAAATTTGGAAGACACTAACCTTAGTGGTGTAAAGGATAAATTATGGGAGTAGAATTTGTCTTAGGACACAAAGGTGATTGACCTGCAAAGCACAATGAACTACTGGAATCCAACTTTATTCTCCTGATAGAGAAAAAATTCACATAGCGAGTGGACTTTTTTTATCTAGCTTAACCAAAAAAATAGTTAGCAAACAGTACTTTCTCGTTTGATTCATATAAATCCACACACTACCAATTTAGCAATTCAGTATCAAAACGTGAATATTTAGCTAAATCACAATAGTTTGTTTACTTCTGCTTTACTATCGAAAAGCATCACAAAATTTATATTTCTTCGATCATTAATACATTTCATAAACCCCTACTTAACTAGTTTTTAAATTCTTGGACTAAAAATTTGCAGCCATAGTTAAGAGATTACCATGAATGGGCTAACATGCAAGGGTTTGGCCACCAAATCTGAACCCGGCCTGAACCCGAACCTCACTCTCTCCCCCCAAGGCGTGTTTGTCACCTGAAATCAGCACTATATAGGGCTAGCTGAAGCAAAAGGAAACAAGGAAAACACAAAGAATGATAACTCAAAGAGACTATAGTTTTCGAGACAGTGTCAATTGTCTCGAAAATGCGAGACACTGTTGGTGTCTCGGAAATGCGAAACACTGTTGGTGTCTCAAAAATGATGAGGCAGTATGACGTCCCTTTTGACGGTTTTCTTGGACTTCGTGCGATCCACATGGCTTCATAATTGCTTAGGATCATCCATAAATATGGAAAAACCGTTATAAACTGAAGAGACTCAAAATCCTCAGAAATCACGGTATTTAACAGATTGAACGTCAATTACAAAACTACCTGGAACGACCCCTTTGTCCGAGACAGTGGACATTGTCTCCCAAATAGGAATTATCGATTACGAGTTGTTTCAACTTCTTATCTTCAGAAACGGTTCCCAGGGGCTATAAATACTTCCCCTACACCCTTGTTCACAGGGGAGAGCAAATTAACAACAGAGAATTAGAATTTTGGCGAACTTTGGAGAGAGACTTGCACCGTTTTCAAGGAATCTGCAAAACCTTCGGTGTTTCCTCGAGATCTAAGCTTTGACTTGATCTTGAGAAGAGTGTTTATCTTACCTCGCTAAGATATTCACTTCAGTTCTTGTTTCCACGTCAAAACATCAACTTTAAACCTTCTTCACGATCAACTTGGATTGTTGAATCGGTGGTCCATGGAGTAACGCATCCCCAACATAGACAAAGATCTCTCGTAAGCAGAGGCTGCTAAACAAGAGTTTATGCATGTGTTTATAGGAGATCTCATTTATTTGTTTTTATTTGTTTAAAGAAGTCTTATAAAAAGGCTCACTTTTTGAATCTGTAATTCGATAAACGAGTTGTAATGGATTCCACAATGAAAAAGATTTCCGATGCAAACACACAGATAGGAACACTTCTTAACAAAGTCATACTTTTCCTGGTCTCTAGATCTTGTAAACACTGAACAGGTTAATTCAAAAACTAAGTTTGCCCCCATTATAATCTTTTTTCCCTTCATCTGACTACAAAGCTTTACCCTTCTTCGAAGAAGTTTATAAATTTCACATCCAGGTGTTGTTGTTGACATCAAACTATTTGCTACCTACTAAAAAGAGGCATACTATCTGACTTAGTCTGTTGTTTTGGACTCAAACCCACGTCCAAAACCTCTCCTCTCTTCGATTCAATCTCCACTTCTTCTTCTTTCACCATTTCTCGTATTACTACTCCCAATCTTTCTAACTGCAGCAACTTTCTCTCCCTACCCAAGTCTTTTGCAGGAATCGATAAGAAAGCGGCGTTCCGGTGGAGAAGGAGAAGTCGCAACTCGTATGTAGCTCGATGGACGATCATGTGCAGTGTTGATCCCTGTCAGAAGGATAGGTAAAAGCCGCCCGCGCCCCCCTGTGGGAAAGATCCTCGGAAGGCGCAAAAGAGGAGGCATAAGTTTCGGATGTATTAGGTTTCAATTATAAGTCTACCTGGCTGAAAAAGATTCCGGGGTGACTATTTTCAGGGTCCTTTTACGCTTGCGTGTTGAATGAAGAAGTTATGGACAACAATCAGTTGCATTATTCCAAAAGTAGAAATTCATTGGCGTTGAGCACAGAAATACAATTAAGTTTGTTAAGGCTACATCGTAGAAAGGCTAAATCACAGAGAGAGGAGTGCATGTCCAGATGCAGAAACATTAGTTTTCTTCTTTTATTCTTAGTGTCGCCAGCCTGGATTAGTGGGGTCCAGAGTATGCAGGAAAATCACATCTCGCCAAGAAATCGAATGCTGGCACAAAACCGAACTCGAACCTAGTGAGGCGTCTGGTGCATTCTCAGGCTTGGTTGTCCCAACACTCCGATGAGTCATGGACGGACTTGTGACAGACTGTACCTCTTTGAGAAACCTGCGCGACCGGGTATTTTGGGTTAACGTGGGCAGGTTTATTTCCAGACAATGGGATGAATAGCGCACTGTTTGTAAAAAGAACTGCTGGCTAGATCGCGGTTAGGCGTGACGCCTAGGCTTAGCGTACCTCATCCGCCATAGACTAGCGCTAACTTAGCGGTGATTGATCCCACCTATGTTTAAGGCGTTTGAGGAGTTGATGTCTTACCGTGGATGGCACCGCTGTACGCAAGCGCTCTGATGGTGTGTAGGTGTGGTCGATGCTGCCGCTGCCTGAACGTGCCATTAGACCTCCAAATGGATGAACCCGCTCCAGATACATCCTGCCGTGTTCAGCAAATAGACCCAACACTAGAATGAACAGCAGAACGCTCAGGAAGAACGCTTAGAGCGCGCCGCTAGGGACGTAAGCGGCTGGGCGGCGCAAGTCTCGGACGCCTGAGCCGAGACCGAGGGCGGGCTCAGCGTTGTATGTAAGCTGAGTATACGAGTTGAAGGCTGATGTCTCCAACTCTAACGTCTTAAAGAAATTCCAGTACGCACGAAGTATAAATTGTTGTCCTCGCGCGGTCAGCACGAAGGTCAGAGACGAATGCCAAGACGCGATTTTCAACAGGATGGATTCGAGTCATGAGTCAGGCTAGGGCGATAGTTGTTCGGTCAGAAGGAAGTTATCCGGGGAGAGTTCGTTGAAGCGCGCATCCAGGAGTGGCAGAGACTCCGCAAAGATCAGTGTTTAACGGTCGCAGACGCTCAGACAACATGGGTTAGTTCAGACGAGTCAACATGATCTACTGATTCAGTTGCCTGAATTTCAACAGATTGGTTAAACTTACCACAACACCAGAGTATGTTCAAATACTCAACCCAACAGTACTGAGAAAAGTGCGTTAGCCGGAAGAAGCCAAGAGTTTTTTTTTCCTTTTCTTTCACGCATTCTTCCTCGACATTTCTGGGTAGGGATTGAAAATTATTGCAGTGCGTGATCTTGTCAAATTGTTAGACTGCCCGGCATGAGATGAACGTTTTTGAGGTGAATTGTGGAAGAGGTGTTCGTAGGCGCGAGAAAAATTCATATGTATGTTCCTACACAACTCATAAGATCGGCGAGGGAGAGTCTTGCTAGTCAGAGATCGATCATGGCGTGAGCTGAGCAAAAGATACTTAAGGAACACAGAAGGGATGAGCTACTCAAGAGGATAGTATTGTTTATCCGTGTCAATGTCTCGAAAAATGAGCGAGACACTGTTGGTGTCTCGGGGAAATGCAACGAGCGTGTTGGCGTGCTGGTTGCTGCGAGTGAAGATTAGAGCAGGGGTATGACGCGCTTTGACGCGTTTTCTTGGCTTCCGTGCGATCCACATGGCTTCATAATTGGCTTGGGATCCATCCGGTAAGATATGAAAAAACCGGTTATGAAGCAGCTGGGACAGAGACTCAAGCACGATCCTCGAGAGCGACGGTATTTAACAGACTGGCGGTTGAGAGGTCATTAGGCGCACCACCACTGCTGGACGACCCTTTGTCCGAGGAAGTGGGAATTGTCTCCCCAAATAGAATTATCGATTACGAGTTGTTCAAGCTTCTTATCTTCAGAACGGTGTGGGCCAGGGCTATACATACTTTTCTCTACTTTCCTTTTTTCAGTTGGAGGAGCAAAATAACACAGAGAATTAGGGATTTTGTTTTGGAAGGGAAGCTGCACCGTTTTCAAGGAATGCTGCAAAACTTCGGTTGTTTCCGCGAATCTTTTAGCTTTGACTTTATCTTGAAGGGTGTTGTATCTCTACATCGCTAGTTTCACTTCGTTTTTTTTTTCCACGTCAGACAACATCAAGCTTTAACCTGCTTCGGACACATTGCAATTGTTGATCAGGTGTCCATGGGTAACGCATCCCCCCACTAGCAAATCTCTCGTAAGCAGAGGCTCGCTAAATAAACGAGTTTAATAGCAATGTGGTTTTTTAGGGAGATTCATTAATTAGGTTTACTGGTTTAAAAGATCATTAAAAGGCTGCACTTTTGAATCTGTAATTCGATAAACGACGTTGTAATGGGTTCGCACAATGGAAAAGATTTCGCGATTAAACACCACAGATGAGGACTTACATTTTCTTCCAAAGTCATACTTTTCCTGTCTTAGTCTTGTAACCACTGAACAGGTTATTCAATAACACTAATTGTGCCCCATGTATAATCTTCTTTCCTTTTCGACTACCAAGCTTTTCCCTTCTTCGAAGAAGTTTATAATTTTCATCCACGGTTGGTTGTATGACATTCAACTACTTTTGCTACTTTATCTGATTGCTGTTTTGTTTTGGACTGGTCCATTCCTCTCTCGATTCAATCCTCCACTTCTTCTTCTTCACCATTTTCGTTTATACTCCCAATACTTGTTCTATGCAGCAATTCTCCCAAAAGGCTGAACAACCCTCTCGTCACAATTGTTTTTTTCTTTGCAAGTTTTTTTATTAGAGACTTCCTGTGATAAGAGTCCAACCTCCTTATTATGCTTATTGAGCGAATCTTGTTTATCCCTTGTATATATTCCTTTTCCCCCTAGTTTATTTTCAATTTTTATTGATATATGGTTGATATAATTTATGACACAATCCTTTTTTTCCCAAAAGTATATTTCATAACGTGCACAGAAAAGTACAAATTAAGTTTGTTATTTTATTGCTATTTTTAATTTAACAAAAGGTCAATTCAAAAATTTTAGTTCTTCTTTTCCTTCTTAGTACCAGCCTTGTTCAGACTCGGAAACTCACATGACATCGTGGTGCGGGGAAAACCACACATTTTACAGTTTTGAGGGATTTGGAGTGAAGTATTTATGGGACGAGGGATGGTTTTATAATTCACTTAGGGTTGTGGGGAGTGAATTATTTGGACAAAATACAGTAGCTTGACAGCCCTATCTTATTTCATACCCATTGATTTTAGGATTTTTTTACAAAATTTTTTAATTTTTAAAGGCGGAATCAAGTCTGAGCTTATTTCATTATTCAGTAAGACTTCATATAAATTTTATGTTTTTGTGTGTTAATCAAAATAGGAATCATTATAGTTATGGTTTA